GTAAAAAACAAATTAAAAATTGACTTAAGAAATGTTGAGTGAGGATTGTTCAAATTGATGGTTAGGTACATCATTGTTAAAATTAGCTCTAGTAAACGTCAATATATATAAAAACAAATTATCTATAAAAAACAAAAAAAAAAAAAATTTAAAAATTAGGAGATATTTAAAATGTTTACAATGCATTACTCTGTAGCTATCATTCTCCTAGTAACTTTTATGATAAAAGTCTAATCTATAATACTCTTCTGCCATTTAAGAATTCCTCTCTTATTCCATATAATTTAAAATTAAGTAAAAGCTCAGCCTTAGCTTTGATTTTTCTGAATAAAAGTTATGCATTTTAAGGGAATTTTAGACGAATTCCTCTTAAGCAGCAAATCATATAATTCTATAACTAAAATCCACACTACTTTATAAAATATAGATAATTTTTGCTCTAATAAAACAAAGAGTCTGATTGTTCCTCATTTTTTTATTTCATCTCTATCGATACTCTGAAATTAGTATAGAACATTTTAATCTAAATTTCTAATTTTTATTAATCAAATATTTGATTTGCCAAAAAAAATATGAGTATCATAATTTCTCAAATATCAACTATAAAATCTACAAAAATGAAGTACCAAATAGTTGCATTAATTTGTAGTTTTGAGAAATGAAGCTATGTATTTGGTATCAGAATAATAAAGTATTTGGTATCATAACAATCAAAAAAGAATTTTAAAACAAATGATTTATGAAATAAAAACTATTTTCATAGGTTTATCAAAATTTTATTTTGATTTTTCTTTCCTGATATTTGCTAAACTTCACAAAAGCTGTATTCTATGAAACAAAGAAAAAATTGGATATTTATGTAAATTATTATAATACTAATTGCTTGCAACTTTGAAAAATACATAGTGTACAATAGGTGGAAAATTACACATTTGTTTTGCAGTTTTTATTAATTATTATCTCTAACTGAAAGAAAATATTAGAATTATTTTTGTTGAAAGCAATAATTACTTGAAGGACAAGGAAGAAAATGCTAAGCATTGAAGTGTCTTGTTATTTTAAGACTTGCAAAAAGTAGAATTTATTGTGGTATGCAAAATTATAGTTCTTGAAGTACATACTGAAAATTTTTAATACTTGCTTTTTATATAAGAATGCTTATAGTATTTTCAAAATTTAAAAGTTTCATTTTTTTAACTCTTTCATTAGCTATCTGATTTTATTTTCATTCTTGATTTATAACCCACATTTATTTGTATATTATATTCTGTATGAAATTTATGCCAAAATTGCTATATTTTTTTTTTCAATTTAATCATTATGAATAACCATTATAAGTAGCCTTTCTCAAAAGAACTTTAAAATTACTCTTTTATAATGTTCTGTGGGGTTATAATCATGATTACAATGATCTCAAAAAACATCAGAACTATAATTATGGTCACATAGCACGCTGAAAAAAAAAATGTAGCAGTGATGATAGTTTGGTCTTGGTTTACTTGATTCTGACAAAGCACATGAGGGCTATCTCCCTAAGGGGAAGGATGCCTTCATGAAGGACTTTCTAAGACAAACTGGTTCACTTCCCTTGGAAACATGGCAAGTTACACATGGTAGTGATGACAGTTATACACAGTCCAATGTAAAATGTAGAATTAAATTATACTGATGCATAAAATTATATTGATACAATGTAAAATGTAGAATTAAATTATACTGATGCATAAAATTATATTGATAGTAAAAAGGCTCTTCACTTTTATAACAAGCTAATCAATATGTAAAAATGTGGCTTATACGTATCATAAATTTTAATTTATCATTAATATTCATTCTTTAAGTTTCTCAACTATCTGGCTAAACAAAAATGCATGCTAATCTAAATAAATGACAGAAAAAAAAAAAAAAAAAAAAGAGAGAGAGAGAGGAATGCTGTGATTAAAGATTTTAGTATAAATTTAACATACTAATAAAGATTTATAATTGTGTAGTATAATTGTTTTATGATTAAACATTAATATGAGAAAATTTTTTATATTTCTAGATAATTAATTCAAACATGCTGAGATTTCTGAAATAATTCTCATATTTTCATGGATAAACAAATTATCCATGTATGTTATGTATGTTAACACATTCTCACAAATAAAAAAAAGTACCTTTTACTATTTTGAAGACATTTTTGTACAGAGTATTATATCAAAATAAAATCAGTACCTTCTATACTTCATAAATATTTTTAAAAGTTTTACTTTGGATTCATTTTTTAACAAATACAGTCTGTAACACATCATAAAATTTAAAAAATGTAAAGGTCTTCAAAACTTTGCATAATAAAATGTAAACATATATGGATGAATAAGTTTTAGCATTACACGTAATGAAACTCAGACCTACAGGGATTTTTAACACATTTTAATTAGCATAAATTTATATTTTTAGCAGCATAAATTTTAAAAACTGACTCTGATTATTAAACTTGAATAATTGACTATTATGTGCGATAAAAGCTGTATGCAATAGTATTAGCTTATTAGATGTATGCACTATTAGAAGGCTTATATTTAAAATGATAGATAAATTGTGTTTAAATGATGGAGAGATGAATAATGAACTTTATTTAATAAGAAAAAAGAATAAAAAAGAGTAAGTATTAGAATCTGATTCTGGACATGGGATTACAATTATGCATAAGTGGAGATATTCTATCATGATCATCAGTGCATTATTGAAAACTTCATCAGGGAAAAGGAATCATACGGCATTTCAGTTGTATAGCAATCCCTTACTGTACATAAGTGAGAGGACTAGTATGTTTTTAGCATAACTATCAGTGAATTATTGGAAAACTTCATCAGGAAAAAGCAGTCATACAGGTAAAACACAAACCATTCTAAAGCAGAAATTATAGGAATTTAAAAATTATATTATGTGCTTAAGTTTTTTTGCATAAGACAGAATGCATTTTTGTACCTAATAGGCTATGAGCTGATAGAAAACACATACTTTGCAAATTTAATAAGTTCTTGGCATCAAAAGAGTCATTTATCTTTCCGCTTTGAACATTTATCTGTGTCTTATTATTAGTAATATTACCAAGTATTTGATAATATTTTCTTTTTAATCATTACAACCACTACAGTATTACAAATAAAACTTTTTATTATTAATTTAATTCAGAAACAGCTGGGAAAATATTCATTTTTTAGAACCATGGTCAAATGAATTTAACAAAAGAAGATTGAACTTAAAATGTCTCAAAGGTTCCGGTCTCATGTCTACAGTCAGAAAACAAACTACATAATATACTATTTTTCAGTATGGGTTTAAAACTCATAAATTAATATATAGTTTACTTAAATTCAGTAATAATATTTAATTTGTTATAATATAATTTCTTAAATTAAAAATAAGGACTGAATGATAATCTCATTTAAGATTATCATTCAATTCTCAATATATTCCATCAATAAATTTATTTAATGTCACATACGAAGTTTAAATACAATAAGTTATTAAAATTTATTACAGATGATGTGCTAAAAGTATTTAAAATTTTCCATTAAATAGTAAAGCAATAAATAAAATATTTATATTGACATTAGTGTTTAAGAGTAGATATTATAATACTAATTAATCTTTATAATAATTAATAACGATTAATTTACTAAAACCCTGTCAATTAATTTACAATAAATTTGATATTAGAGATGTAATGATGATATTCGCATTCTTTCCTTATATGTTCTGACTCATGGTGAAATAAACAAAATAGTAGGAATAAACTTTGAAAACTGCCCTAGTAAAAGGCCAGGAAGGACTCCTAGCCCTAATTAATATTTATTGTCCGTCTGAGTTGCCGTATGATTCATACTGTTGAAGAATGATCATTTCAAGAAGCTATTCTTCCTGCCTCTCAAAAGAGACCCTGTGGTCCATTGAAGGTCCTGTATTTTTCCTAATATATATTTTATTTTTTCCCCTTGCTTTTTTCCATTGACATAGCATTATGCCATTAGTTCTATGTTTTCAGTTTACGTGAGCTTGTTTCTTTCACGTAAATCAAATAAACGATATAAAACCTAATATTTAAATAATCCTCCCCCATTTTTTTCTCGTCTCGGAATTTTTCCCTCCTTTTTTCCCGGCCCCTAATTTTCCTCCGTTGTTAAAAAACCTGGCATTATTATGACCGTGCCGCGCCTCCTTTTTTGCTTATCCTATTTATTTTATTTTAATCCCAGCTTTAATGGACGTAGATTTTCATGTCTGAATGAAAGTTAGTTAGAACTCGCGGTTTCTATATTAGTATGATTATCTTCGCTTCCGTCGCCAAGGCTTGAGATCTTTATCCGTAGAGATCTATTTTTCGGCGCACAACAGAATTGGCGATGGAGTTCCGTTTGAATCCGTTTAACCAGCGCGGAAGTATGGCCGACTTTTTTGGCGCGTTGCCGGTGGGACACTCAGCTGGAAGTTGGAAAACGGCATAGGTTCGAGCAACGGTGAGAGGGAATGTAAGTATGGTGCTCTAGCAATTTTTCCATTATCGTGAAATTCTAATTTTCACTCTATGGTTCTCCATAATTCCTGTGTATTCCAAGAATAAATTTATGAATTATTTTTTGTGTGTGTGTAAAAAATATTTTTAGTATGTTGTTATGTGCATCGGTAACTGGCGCATCAATAGTTATTACTATGCTTTACTGATGTAAAATATGCAATATTCAAAATATTGGAACTTATATATATATATATATCCCAGATATATATCGTATTGGCGTGTGGTATATATAGTAGCCCTTATATATTATGTAATTCTATTTTTAGATATCATTTTGATATTTGCTTAGATTATAGAATTTCAGCGCAATCTCTGTCCATTAAGGTAAAATATTGCAAATCTCAGCGTTATATTTTAATACCCAAATATTTGAATTCTTGATGAGTACATACTGCCTCATTCTTTATTTGAGTTTAAAATGACAGGCCTAATCGCCACCCATTTATATAAGTAAAAGAAAAGCGAAAGTGATATAGAGGTAGATTCTCCATTTGAAAAGTCTGAATTTTTTCCCCTTGTATTCCATCCTGTCCACGTAGTGCATAGAAGTTCCGCGCTATCTAATATTTTCTATAATTCGATAGATAGATAAGCACAATTTTTGAATTAAATCTTATTGAATCGCCTCAATATATTTATTAAGTTTGTTTAACATTTTTTATTTAATTAGTATCAGTTGGGCGGGCCGTCTTCCGCCAAAACAGTTCACCTACCTATAGGACCGGACGACGGTGAAAAAGTTGCGGGCTGAATTCCCGTGTACTGTAATGACAATTAAATTTTTCGTGGATAAATTAATAAACTCAAAATGTTATTGAAGGATTTTTTATGTATTAAATCTTGGTAAAATTGTCAGAAAAATATCCCCTCGCGGATTTCCAAATCATTTTTTTTTTTTTTTAATTTCAGTAAATATTAAAAATAAGCATATAAAATTAATAATGAAATTTTAAAAGTAGTTGCTTAAAAAACGCGTTGTTTACCATTTTCTAGTATTTTATTTGTATTTTATTCATTGGTTCTATTTTATTATGCTTTTATTTTTATAGTTACAGTCTTCGTTTATTTTAGACTTTGGTTATCCTAATATTGTAATGAAGAATTTTATTTTTAATTACCAAATATTTTGGTACTTAAAGTTTCATTTGAAATGCAATTTCTATAATAAATTTTCCATCGTGTTATGAAATAAATATTGGAAATTAAATATTTTATTACTTCTAAATATAATTATGTAACAAGAAAAGTTATTGATATTAAAGCATATTCATTTATATTTTTATCTTCCACCTTACTTTTGTAATTCAATGTTTATTTAAAATATTAAGAAGAATTAAAAATATTCAGCTGTTGTTTTTGTGAGGAACTTAAAAAATAATATTGCTAAATACTTTCCATCTTTACAGGGTGTGATTTTCTCAATAATTAAATCAAACTGATTGACATGTACAATAACTAATTTTTAACCATTTTTTAATTAATTGTATACGCTAACTTTAAAATATAAATAATTCTAAAGTAGCATGTGTTACTTTTATGAGACTTAAATTTTCATATGTATTAATTCTGCGTGAAATATGTTAAATAAAATATATATATACATACATATGCATTTTTTTAAACATGAGAAAATCTGTATTAAAGTATATTAAATTTAAAAGTAAGTATGAAATATGTTTCCTATATTTTTAATTGATTATTACAGGGTAGAAATGTGGACTTTTTGGCAACTGGCATTACACTAATATGCATTTACACACTTTCAAAAATCAGTTACAATTACCGATTTTTCATTTATAGTTTTAAAATAATAACTGTTTTTAACTTATATATAATTTAACTCCTAAGGATGTCAAACGTGACACCTTTATATTTGCAAGATCATTTTATAGATATTTTTGTATATTTTGCTTGCAAATCCTTTAATGTTTCTGAATTAAGTACAATGGGGGGAAAACTAGTTATTTTTTTAAATATTAGATTAAATGACTAGAATCATCATTGTTTCATTTATTTAAGCTTATTCTGCATCAGAATTTTTGTTTGATACATTTTAGAAATTTGATTTCTTTATGGAATTTCACTTATGTCATATTTATCTTCTTGCTTACATTACTTACTATCACATTGAGTTTAGTTACATTTCTTACTATTACATTAAGTTAAATATGAAGTGATATATTTTGCTTGAGTATCATTCTGAACTAAACTTGTATGTGTTTTACAAGCTTAGTTAAATTTTTGCTTGGCTAAACTGGAGTTCTGAGGGTAGCCTTAACAACAGTCATCTTTATAACTTATCAAATTTAATGAATGTTGATTTTTAAAGAAAAGCAAAAGCCTTTTGGCATGGGAATACAAATAATTGCAATAAACTTTAAGATGTAACAGAAATAATAAATGACTTTATTTCCTTTCTTATGCAATTAAGTATGTGAACATATTCTAATGTCAAAGGCTGAGATACTGTGTAGGATCTCTTCTAGACTGGCAAAGTGAAAAAATTTGTTATAACACAGACTGTATAAATTGCAGAAGTTTCTTAGTGTCATTTAGATATGTGTCCACAACTGCCAATTTGTTTGAGGTGTAGGATCTTATACATTAATAGGTGTATTATTCATATTTCATTAGTTTTATACCTGGCCAAAGGAATTTCTAAACCAATCTTCAAATTATCCATAATTCTCATCAAACCAATTTTGAAAATTCGGGCTGGTGAGATGGCATACTGGAAAGTTTCATTGTTTTGGGGGTAAATGAAGATTATGAAGGCCTATAAATAGTCTTTAAGCAATGTGATATAAATATTCCCATTAAATGAGTTGCTTAGATGGACCAGAGGACTCGTGAAAATATATCTTGTTACCACTGTGGATTCACTACCAGTTTATAAAATGCCCTGTCGACAAACTTGTCCACTGGTTCCTGCAATCTGTATCAAGCTTGAACTCTACCATCAATTTGAAATAACTGGTTTTGTGATTTTTCAGACCAGATTACTTTATATTCCAGTCTTCTCTAATTCATGTATTCATAAGCAGACTTAGCCCTGGAAATTTTCCTACTCTATGAAATAAATGGATTTTTCAAACTCTTTCTAATTAATTATGCATTAACTGTATAATGTAGGTCAATTATACCACTTTATGCAGCAAATGCATGTTATATTATTGGCAGAGCTGGTTTTTATTTTACTAGATTATGTGAAGTATTCTGCTTGATGGCCTGCTGTTAAGACATACACATAGGTCTTCTGCTTCCTTAGTTCAATTTCAACACTAAGCAATGTTTCATTTATTTCATTGATATGCCTTTGATACCTTTCATATTAAATGTAGAAGTTATTTCATTGTGTTGCTTGCCTGTTAGTCTTTCTCCAAGTCTGACTGAATTATTTAGTGAATAATGTAATTGGTTCCTTCTTCATGATAATATGCCATCTCATTGATCAGTAGTTATACTGAAATTTTTGCCTAAATAGCCACTTTATTCTTCAGATTTATTCTCTTCTGATTATTTTATATTCCCCAAACTAATAAGTAACTATTAAAAAGGCATCCTTAATGATATGCAGGTAGCTGCAGGCTTTGTTAGTGTATACTACTCAGGTTTTGGATGAAAAAGAGATGTACTTAACCATGTAATATATATATTGTAGTTTTACAAGCCAAGTCTCATTATTTGTTAGACCATGTATTTTTTTGAAGGCATCTTAACAGGAAAGCTTCATTTATTGGAAATCATTTAAAGGCTGTTAATGAGGGAAAAAAAAAAAGGTTGATCTTTACATTATGGTAACTTGGCGATTTTTTAGCGAAAATTTGGCAACCAACTCTCCTACAGCAACCCTCTATTTTTTTTCCCCGCCGCCATTTTGTCTTCACGAAGTAAAGACGTTTCTTTTCTTTTTATCTACTGAACACTTCTTCCAACAATCTACTAGCCGAATTACACTTATGCTAGAAATTTATCAAACAAAACTGCTTAATCATGACAAATATTCACTGCAAAATTGGGAAAAGTGCACAATACCATACTCCTTACGCGATTTTTCAAAATAACACATACACATAAACCATGTACACGCCGACTTATTTTTACTTAAAAAAACATCCCAGAATTGCACAAAAAATGGCATTGCGCACACTCTTCACTATATCCATGTACAACACTGCTTTTTTTTCATAAATTAGAAAAATTTTCACGAAGATACATGACAATTTTCTCTATCTTTAAACCCGGTTAAAAAGAACATATATGAAATTACCTGATCGCGAAAAAGTATTTACCCTTTCCAAATATGAACATTTCCACATATAAAATAAATAAAATATCCAAAAAACTTTTACCTCCTAAATCATCTATTATATTAATTTAAAACGTCACCAACGAATTCATACCGCAAGCATTACAAATACTTAGTATCAAATATTTAAATTATTTCCATGCACGTTTACTTTCAACTTAAAACGTATACCAAATTCCTACAAACATAAAATTCACAAAATAACTATCATTTCATTAAAATATAATTAAATTCAAAAAACACTACTTAAAATATAAATGAGCACATACATTAAATTAATAAAAATTACCTTACAATCCTAATTACTTTAAACTAAATCATTGCTAATAACAATTTTCCCAATAATACCAAATTCCTTTCCACCTTACATTTAGAACAATGCATAAAATAATATCCTCAAATAATTAAAAATACTAACTTACCTAATCTTCTTCAGAACCTTGATTACGTGTCCGATAAACTTTTCTTCTTTCTGTTTCAGGATCTTTAAAATCATACTTATATTTCACAGCAAGGTACCAGGTAAAATAAATAATTAATAAAAAACATCTTTATTCTATCTCCTCGCACAACCTTAAACAAACATTTATTATACCCCTTTTCAATACCACTAAATACCCATTTCGAATTCACTTTGGCCATGGGATCGAAAAATTAACCAACACTGTTTCACACAACACAGAATAAAGCCAAATACAAAATTTCCAGATTTTTTCCCGATTTCCCCCCTTTTCCGATTAAAGAACCGTAATTCGTCCATTAATATCACATGACATATCCCATGATCTCTCATTTCCCTCACACAAAATAATGCGTAATCGGAACTGAGTACTGCTCACATTATTACCAAAGTCCCAGGTAGTAACCTTTATCGCCTCCAAAATGTCGCCAAACTACCAGTTACCATATTGTAAAGATCAACCAAAAAAAAAAGCAGTAAAATACACTTATTATTAAATTTTATATTTGTTTTGTTTTATATGATTTATGAAGCTTATCTTGAAGAGAGAACAGGTCCTGTTTTTACAACTTTTTATTCTCTCATTTGGTGACAAATTTGTTAATAGCAATTATGGATATAAATTCTGATTCTGAGAACTTTTTTCATCAATAAACAGCTTTTAAGTCATCTGCCTGATTTCCCCCCCCCCATCCTTTTGAACAAATAT